TGATTAATGTCATTCGCAGTTGAATCTTGCCATTAAAGTAAATGTAAATGTAAAACAATTGAAGGTTGTGCATTTAAAAAAAAACCACATAGCTTTGCATTAGGAAACGCTGCTGAGCTTAATGCTAACAAACAATGGAAAAAAAACTCCTTAAACGGGCTAACAAATAGCATCGGTGTTTTATAACCCTTTGAAGTAACGGATACTTCAACATAGATGTTTCCTTGGAGAAGAATGACAATTCATATTGCATCCCAGTGAGAGGTTGTGACCATCTCCTCCATGTCCGTGTAAACCCATATGTCTGTATTATAGCGCACCATATGTAGCAAAGGCATGCACACCAGAAAAAGCCGCACGACAATGAATAAATCATGATCCACAAACACTGTTTTTGTTTTTCTTGGAACGGATTCATACCATTTCTATTCATTTCAATGGTGAACGATAATTTAGGACTGATTCAGTAAAGTACTAAATTCTTCTGGAAATGATGAAATAATCCTGAAACGGACTATAATAATTGAGGCCGTTTTAGATCAGATGCATGTACCCAGCGTGACCTCTTCCAGAAGGCTGGCTTTCTGTGTTAGTGCAAATGGGAGCTGGATGCAGTTCCCTTTACGTTGGACTGACATTCATTGGGGAGAGCAGTGGGGATTGTGGGAGATGATGAGCTTCCAATTCCCTGTGTAGGCTGCAGGTGTGATGGAGGCCACGCTTACTCATGGGACATATGGGAGGGTGTGCGATGTAGGGGAACAGGGGTGCATGTACCTGGGGAGTGCTCGCACACATTGCATACAGACATGCAACCTCGCCGCATCTCTGGGTGAGAAGGCCATGAGTGTGCTATCTGATTGTGCCAATTTCCTTTTTTCCTCCCCAATATACTGTAGGTTTCATACATAAGGAGCAGTGATTCCTTATCATGCTGTTTTTGGAGTAAATGCCAAGTGTCTGACTTTCTATTCCTGTCAGGAGCCTTTGTGCGCCAACTTGTCAGCATGGGCAGATGTTAATTCTTTATAGCGGCCTCTTAAAAGCAGGACTCCCTAAACTGAAGAGCCTTTTTTTTTTGGATGGAAACACAACAGCTACTATTTGCACGTTATTCTGATTTCAAGAAAAACAAAACGCATTCGGCACTCTGTGTATTTTCGTACTCTCTGACCTGCACACACATATGAAGACTGTGTGCCCGGCATTGGTTTTATTACGAGGTAGAGCATTTCAGTCTGGCAGTTGTAGCCGAACATCCTCTCTATAGTGATCAAAGAGGATGACAAGATGCAAAAAACATTCGTTGACTGTTGGCTCATCGGTTCAACCCCTAATGTACCAACAGTGATGCCTTGAGATACGAGTGAGCCCACTTACTAGTTTTCCTGAAATACAAGCTGTTGTTGGACCCATTTTTTCTTGACTGCGAGTGTAGAGTTGAGATACGAGTGCTGCGTGGTGGATGGTACAATCAGTGAACAATTCTTCAAAAAACATAGTTCAAGCTGGTTATTAGGCCTTAACGTTTCCTGTCAAAATAAACATAAAACAAAATTACACCATGCACATTTAAAACAACACACACAGCCTTTCCGTCCAATAATTTAATGCTAACCCCAAAAAGCTACGTTGCAGTGCGTTACCCATTTAAACAACGGATTGTGCGCAAACTGTGCATCAACACATGTAACAGACATGATAAAAATATTGACAGACATGCAGTGCAATCCTTAACCTCTGCATAGAACGACTAAGTATCAGTGAGACATCTCAATGAACAGTATATCTGTCGATCAGTCTTATACTGTGCCCAGGGGACTAAGGTGGTTACACCAGAAGGAGCGGGACAATGGCCATTCAATAGAGGGCTTTGAGCTCTTCGGATTACCCATTTAATTTCGCATCAGCAATCCAGTCTTGCTGTTGAAGTTTCATAGGACCTAAATCTCCACTCAAATGCATTTTGCCGATCGCTCACATGCCTGTCTAAAGTCTCGGTGTATTTTTCTCCATTGCTAGATTGTCAAAGTCTATTTGAAACATCTCATAGTGCAAACTAAGATTTATAAAAACAAATATTTACACTTGTGTTTACGAAAAAAGGCAAAGCTGACTGCCAGTATGTCGGCCGCATGGGATTGTGGGATATGTTACTATTTTTAGCACTATATTGATGCAATGTGACAAAAAGTGTTGTTGTTTTTTTTTTTGTTTTTTTTTTTTTTACATATGAGTTTTTGTAAAGTACAATATCATGGAGTGCTATATTTTACCTCATTGAAACATACCTTACAGCAATTTTCGTTTTTTAAGGGGAAGGAACGGATTAATGTGCATTTCCATTCATTTCGGTGCATGGGAAAAGGAGTGTTTGAAGTTACGAGCATGATTGCGGATCGAATTAAATCCGTATCTCAAGGCATTATTGTGCCTAAATTCCACTAACATACGCGCACACACACTCTCACACGCACTCTCACACGCGCGCGCACACACACACACACACACACACACACACACACGCGTACACAAACACGCACACGCAGGCACGCACGCACAGACGCGCACACACACTCACTCACATACAGACACGCGTGCACACAAATGGCGTCCCCCTTTGTCCGGATGCCTCCATGGCCAGCGCACTGGCCAGCGTGGTTAGGGCCGTTAGCGGATGTCTAAATGCTGTTTGAGCACGAGACATCATCCACGGACAAGCGAGTGACGCGTGAGCATCCAAGCAACAGATTGCCCCACCCCCGCCCCCATCCGCAGCCCAACCAAAGCCAGCCATCTGTCAAGCTGCGTTCAATAAATCGTTCGTTGGGCGAGCCGGCGGCCGCTGCTGCACTACGTGGCCGACAGAGTCACGTGACCCTCTTCAAGTTGGCCCCAGCACAAGAAGTGAGTGCACGCATGCAAACTTCTCGCGTGCGCGGGGCCCCGCAGCGTGCACTTGGCAAAGTTGAAACCCACGCACCCCCATCCCCTCTGGTCTTGCGCACAAAGCGATCAATGTGGGGGCACGTGCGAGGCGCGAGACCCCCGAGAGGACAATGTGGACCCCCACTGGGCTGAGGCTCGCCACGCACTAGGCCGCTGGGCCTTTATTATGCCACCACAAACTGTGAAAACTCTTCAATATGGACAGTGTAAAAAAAACAACATGCGGCTTTACGGTCACGCCATAGACTTGCAGTGCTTTTTATTGGGGCGAAACGAGCAAATCTTTCAAGCGCAAATTCCCAAAGTGCATTCATTTTATGACACGGGGGTGGGCAATTTAAATGATAGCGGGGCCTACAATTTTTCATTAGTGCTACTACACTCTTAAACGCACAGCTTGTATTTGTTGTATTTGTAATTCATGTTGGAAAAACTTTAAAATATAAATTGTTGACATTTATGGCGACAACATAGGAACAAGGAAATTAAGTTGTTTTACTCGAATCTTTAAATTGGGTTTCAATAAAATCCACAACCGTTCTGTAAACTCGTATTTCTTTGTTGCGAGATGCGGAAAATACTAAATTAACAACAGAAAAACTTCTTATCCCTTTAATCCCTTCTTAAATATTGACAAAAATGTGCTGGCCCACAGAAAAAGTCCGCACAAGTGGTTTTACAAGTTAATACACACACACACACACACACACACACACACACACACACACACACACACATAT